TGGTTCGCAGTACAACTTGAGTTAGATTTGTACTTAGTTAGGGCTCTTTAGTTCATTAGATTATATTGTTTAATTCCTATTTATTTTCTCCTCAATTGCCTGTTAGTTTTTTGGTTTTTTTTTGGTTCTTCCCCTACACTGTAAATAATAAATGCACAATTTTTAGTTAAACCTTTAACATCCTGAGTTTATTGTTACTTCCCTTTCTCCCCTAGCAAAGGGGACATAACACACATAGTTTTAATCAGTGTTGGGAATAATGGTGTTTAAGTATAACAGCGCTACTAAAGGTGCTACATTTTTGGTGACGGAATAATCTAATTAATTACACTCCTCATCGTTACAACACTGTTATCGTTATCGATAAAGTGAAGTGGCACGTTACAACTGGGTTGAATGAGGTGGCGCGGTGCCCAACTTCATGCAGTGGACAGACACACATCATCAGCAGGAGCGAGGAGAGCTCAGGAGAGAGCAGGGCCAAGATGAGGGGGTTGAGAAGTTGGGTGGGCGGAGTCTTTCTTTCCCGCACACGTCCAGCTTAATGAGACAAAGTCAGCGAGAATGCGACAATGGTAACAATGAGCCAGGGACATTCAAAGGCAGTGTTTTCAAAATGGAAATACCAACACTATTTCTCTCTCATTGAAATAAAGGACAAGAATGTGTATGTTACAGTTTTTCTCTACTGGTATGGCTCATTTCTTGAAACAGAAATGACATTCTCAAAACAACATGGACAAATCTCTAAACCACCTTGCAGTCGTTCACAACAGAATATCATTTCTCATTGATTTAATCAAATTTCAAATGTCTTTGTACATGTCTCAAGTGTCTCAGTGCATCTTTGCATATGGTTCTGTACAAGTCGCCTACAGTTTGTACAATTAGCCCACATTTAGCACATTTTCCAAATAAATTGATCTTGCTGATCTAAACTGATTAGTTGATTCTCAGTCTAATGGTTGTTCTCTCCAAAACATGCATCATTTAATTATCTGAGTCATCATATGTACAATTGTTTATTCAGATGTCAAAATTAGTGAAGAACATGATACCATGAACACCATATACAATAAAAAAAAAAAAAAACATTTGATAAATTCATGACAGTAATTGTCAGTCAGGTGAAATTAGAACTTCCTTTCACACTATGTGACCGTGTGGGACAGTGTGAATTTCCAACGTGGCTCATCAGGGCCTGGTTCCCTTCCCATCTAAAGATGCTCATGGAGCTACTACCACCGTACTCTCCTTTCCTCAATCCAATTGAGGAGTTTTTTTCCGCTTGTAGGTGGAGAATTTATGAACATCGGGCTCCAGACAATACGTCCCTGCTCCATGGAGTGGATGCTGTGTGCAAGGACGTCACAGGGAAGGGGGTGGTTGAGACATTTGCACCGTTTCTTCCCTCCCTTCTTCTGCGACTTCTTCACAGGGAAGCAATGACAACTGCGACCACTGAAAGTGTTACTGTAGAAACTTCTCTTTTTTTTGTTTGTGTTTATATTTTGTACATGTACAGAATACTGTATACATTTTCTTTGTATGTACTCTAATGTATACTTTATGTGTCTGAATGGCAGTGTGAGTGCAGTGTGTGTGATGTCAAACTTTGGAAGCTGCTCTTACTGTGAAATCCTTTTTTTCAGTTTTATCCATAATTGTATTGTGTTAGTTAGATCTGTGCCATAGTGACAAAACATCTAAGCAGAGAGGAGGAAGAGAAGGATCTTTGCAATTTTGATGGCACTGACTATTTATATGGGAAAGGAATCTGCTTTGAAACACGTGTGAACAGTTTTGGGAGAGATATGAGCTTTTGCTAGTGAGCTGTAATGTTGCACAGAACCATCAGACTGTTTGGCCAAATGATCTTATAGCTTTAAGAATGTCATTTAAGTTTCAAGAAATGAGCCAAGCCAACGGAGAAAAACTGTAAGTGTACACTGTGCTGTGGGGAAAAAAAATGTCAGCGTCTGTCTCAAGTAACTCGAATCTAATGAAGCACCCCGCTCTAAACAGCACCCTGCTGTTCACCCCGAGCCCCGGTGCAGTGAGTGTGAACTTTAGCCAAGACGTAGATGGAGCCACTGCAGCAAAGCAAGGCAAACTCGGGCAATAGTACATAACATGTAAAATAACCAGATAATAACTTTGCTGAATAATTACTTAAGTCATTTGTAACTGTAACTAATTATCCAACACTGGTTTTAAAGTGTGTGGTGCATATTATGTGCGTAACCATGCCCCTAAAAGGAAAGAAGGACGAGCAAGAACGAGAAGATGCACCAAGGCGAAATACGAGGCAAAGCTGACTGCTGTTCAGGCCACTGTTGATGACCATGCAGAGCATATGGATAGTTTGGAGATGATCGATACACTGTCATGGTTCATGTTTGTAGTGTTTGTAGTTGGTGTTTTATTTTGACATTTGTTTTGTCTGCTTGTAGTTCTGAGTTTTACTTCCTGTCTTGATTGTTTGCCCCGCCCTAATGTGTCTCACCTGTGTCTCATTCATGTGTGTGCTTATATACCCTGTGTACTGCTTTGCCCTTTGTTGGTTCATTGTTATTATGACTCTCATGTCTGTTTTGGATTTTGTGTTTGTTCATTAAACAACTTTGGAAATGCATGTAACCCGGTCTAAAATGTCACTTTAGACTGAACTGGCTAAAATATTAATAATTTCATTTTAATAAATAGCAATAAATATGACTAATAAATAAGTAATTGATAAAAACATCTCTTATAAATAGTTAAAAAATGTAATCTGCCAAGCAGAGGCTTTCGTCAATTTCATCTGAGAAAGTTCATTTTGATATAGACCAAGTTTGTTAAAATTGTACATGAGCAAAGCACGTTGTATCTTCACAACCTAACTCTATTGTATGTCAATCTTTTGTTTTTTGTAATTCAATTGGAGAATGCGCTGGTGACTGATGGTGGCAGTGGGTAAAATAGTCACAAAAATCACTGTGGATGCAGAGTCTACAGGTCTTATGTGGGACTGTTGTTACCTGATGTCACGTGAGTGTCTGAAGTATTTATTTGTGTATTAAAACAGCCCGTTTGGTACAAATAAATTAATAATGCTAATCGTGAGTTAGCGGCTTAGCATGCTAACGCTAAAGCTAGCCTAATAGTAAATTCACTACGCAGAGTATAGACAGTTTATTTTAATAATTTGCTAAAAAGAGGCTTTTTAATGCACAGCAGACCAAGGCCACTCTCTTTGGACCCTTCTGCTGTGGATGTCAAGAGTCTCGTCCCGCGTGTGTAAGCTGCTCCTGAATCTTGCACGAGGCCGACGCAGCCGCCATTTGAACAAGCTCATGGACACGAACATGCTGTATGCCCGCCTTGTCCCCTCCTCACTGATTGGAACTACAGTGTTGTGAGTACCACTGCGCCTCAGTGCACATGCTTATTGTTTTAGCTTGCTCAGCAAGTGAAGCGGCTATTTTATATGTTTCTAAGGCCCCAACGCACTGGAGCAACATCAGGCCTGCAAGTAAACTAAACTGAACTAGTGAAATAAGTTAGTGGTTGAAAATTTGACTGAAATACAAGAGGTTTTTTTTTTTTTTTTTTTTTCCAATTGTATTGTAAATTCTAAGTGTAACAAACACACTGCTGTCATTTAATTTTAAACATTATTCTAATTCATTAAATTACAATTTTTTTGCATTTTATACAGTTTGTGTGCGCATATTATTGTTGGTGTATATTAGCAGAGATTCCATTGGGTTACATACATATAAATATAAATTCATGTATTCTTAGTGGGTTTTAAAAAATTAAGTATCTAAAATATTCCTGCTAAGTGGAGGCACCGCCAAACAAAGTTTTATTAGATTTTTAGTTGTATCTCCTCAGTATTTAAAAGTAACTGTACCCAGGGCCCCGCCCATAGTACTACCACCATTCAATTAACACATTAGATACATGGGATGGGTGCTACATGCAGTTTTGCATTTTGGGTCCTACTTCTGCTCCAGATGTGACATACATGGGCCCAGATACAAGCGGTAGTTGAGGAAAATGCTAAGGTAAAAGCAAAGCTACTGGATCTCGAAGGCAGGAGCCATCGCAACAACATCCAAATTACTCTTGAGTCATCCAGGGATAAAATATATAATTATACTTTTTATTATCACACTCATTATTATAATTACTACTACTACGACTAAAGCAACTACTACTAATAAACTCCTAATTAGCAGCATGCAAAAATAACAATATATCGTATTGTTTAATGTGATGATACAATATCGATATTGTGGGCTGCTGTATCGATAAATCGCCAAGAGTATTTTTTTGGTATATTTTACTAAATTATTTTGTTACAGCACTACAGTTTTGTTGCTTGTTCAGAGGAAGGAAACTTATTTATGCGACACATTTGACATTTTCACTGTTTTGATGATTAAAATGTTTGTGTTTCATATGAATTTTGCACAAGAAGACTTTTAGTATCACAGCCATGATTCAGGCATTATTTTTCATTGGACCATATTGAATTGATTTGAAATCTATCGTATCGAACCGAAAGTGCACTGTATCGATGTATGTATCGTATTGGCAACTTCTTAATGATATCCAGCTCTATTCTTAATACTGGTATTTCTGCTGCTACTACTATTAGAAAGACTAAGCTAAGGACAAAAAAAGGATTTTATTGGACATTAGACCAAGATCAAGATCCAGATACATTAAAAAACTTTCAAATCTCAAACCATTCATCTCTCCGCTCCTGGGGCACCCCACGCAGGTCACCACACTGTCCAGTCCAGCTGGAGCATCAAACGTCTGGACCTCTCTGTGAGCGAACTGGGGCAGAGAGCGAGTGTGTGTGTGTGTGTGTGTGTGTGTGCGTGTGTGTGTGTGTGTGGTCCAAACCAAACACTCAGCTGCTTGGGGGACTGGAGAGGTTGTGAAATCTAGCAACTTGAGTTAAAAACTGGAATAAGTTGTGAGAAAGACGGACTTGCAGTGAAATGGTAACGCTGCAGAAGAGTCTATGGAGGATTTCCTTTTTGTTGAGTTTGATTGTGGAGCTGAGTTGGATTCACAGTGGATACAGCATGCACCGGGAGGCAGGGAGTAAGGTAAGAAATCATAGCGTAATTATCCGTTTTATTATGAAATGTTTTTCCAGACACAGGTCACTTTAAAATGTCTGGTATTAGTCATTCACCACACTCAATATGCAAATTTTCTGTAGCCACAGCTGCCCTGGGACTGACAGACACAAGGCCAATCTGCACCATAGGCCCCTCTGTCAACCAACCACTCACCCACACACCACATCTACAGTTCACTCACTCACAATCACTCACTCACTTTCCCTTGTACACATGGTGACGTTGAGCCATTGCTGAAGTCACAAATGCCTTCGGACTGACTGATAGACAGTGATGAGAAGAATACTTTGAACATGTATTTAGTTTTAGGATATTGAATACCTGCACTAACATGTATTTTGTAACATATTCCAACACATGGTCCAATCAGAGTACTGTATTCTGAATACCGTCTTTTTCGGACTCGCTCCGGAGTCGCACCAGTGAAAATATGAGTCACACCGAACTATAAGGCGCACTTTATGGGGGTAATTTCTTTTATAAAATCAGAGACCAGGAACTGACATTTGATCTTGAAAGGCAAGTTTTAGTAATAATAACAGAACAGAGAACAACATCCTGAATAGGCGTCTGGTATGTTGACGTAACCTATGAACAGTTATTCAGAGCATAAACAACAGAACAGAACAAGTTTACCAAACTCTCGATCTCACTCCAAATCACTAAATCCACTAAATTCTTTATCCTCTGTGTCACTTCTGAACTTCTCTGGAGGTAAATGAAGCGCCGCTTCCTCTTCTGTGTAGCTGTCGTCACACTCTGCATCAGTTCCAGTTAGAATTATTCCAGCCTTTCTGAATCCTGACAGGATGGTTTCAGTTGTCACTGGAGTTCAGGCTTTGTCGATCCATCCAACGACTTCCAGGAAAGTTGCATGGTGCACCCTCCTGGTTACTGTGAAGCTGTGTTCTCCATCCCCGCATTTCACCAGTCCCTCATAAGTTTCTCTTTCTTTCTGCTGCTCGATTACAGTTTTCAGCTGAATATTCCGCTACTTGCAGCAGGACAGAGGCTTTTCCTGCTGGATACATGTGCAGTAGAGTGAAGTGAGTGATAGGAGCAACAGATACTGACACACAAGCCTAGAGCCTCATGGCTGTCAATGTGAACATTTTTATATATAAGTCGCACCGGAGTATAAGTCGCAGGAAACACCCAAACCATGAAAAAAAAGTCAGACTTATAGTCTGAAAAATGCAGCACTTAGAATGCTTTTACATTGAGTTGCATTTAAATTATAGATTAAAGATGCAAAATAAGATTAAAATCAGCTTCAAATTTGCTTCACTGTTAGTTGTTAGTATGCATTTCATGTCACTCATTGGGGAAGTAAAAATCACACACAAGAGCGTTTTTTTTAATTGTGTACAGTTTGAAGTCTAAATAATGTGATCTCATACCTCCTATCAGGAAAAGGAACACGATATATATATAATGTTATTTTATTTTTTTTCCTTTTTCCACTTGCTCCACTTGTACATACTGTCCATTCACATTAAACCACTTTAAGGGACCTATTACTCAGAATGCGTCAGAGCTTTTGTACAAGTATTCCTATTCTCAAACCACTCACACACACATAGATTTTCTCCCTTTAACTTTACCTCTATTAGATCATACAAAGAAAGTAATGAGATTAATTTACTTACAAAACTTCAAGGGGTAATTTTCACCAGTTATACTTCACAGACAAAAATATCACTGGTTTCTTGCTTTTAAGTTCCGCCTGGATCTCAATGGGTGACCCACAGACCAACTCCGGACCACAACCGGCTCTGGACCGGCCCACCAGACCCCAACCCCAATTTGGATGTGTCAATTCAGATACATTTATTACCGACATTGTTCACAGTCAGACTCTCATCATCTTTAGGTGTAATACCTAAAACACTGTTGTGTACCATGTTTGGAGTTTCTCATGTTTGGTTTTAGATTAGAGACAAATGGACACAACCACACATTTACTAGAGGTCATTATTAAGTGCAGTGTTGGGGAGTCAGAGTACAAATTATGAGTAACTGTATTCAGTTACAGCAGTGCTTCTCAATTATTTTCTGTCATGCCCCCCCAGGACGAATAAAACATCTCGCGCCCCCCCGCGTGACTATAGATAGTATCATTTGTCTATAAAATTGTTATAAGTACACCTGTGCGTAACACTGCCACCTTATATGACGCCAACAACGCTCGCTGGTTTACTGAAGTACCAGTCACAAAGCGGGATGATTGTCGGCAATATTCGGCACGTTTTCGCTGAAAAAACTCAAGCGGCTTATCAGAGTGATCGGGGTGTAATGTATTTAAGTGACGCCTTAATTTATTGGGCTTCATGCTGTCGGCTGCCAACATTTTTAGACACAGTAAGCACACCGGTCTTTCCTCGTCTCCCACCGTAGTCACAGTGAAGCCAAGCGCTACATACGCTTCGTCATATTTCCTCGTCTTAGCTTTCGGGAGATTTTCGTTTGTCTCTTTATCTCCGTCTCTCTCCGCCTGTCTTCTCATCCCTGTTAAATATTTTTTCATGGTGTCACTTGAGGGTCTGCTACACTTCGTGTCTACACTTCATACTCAAACTCTGTGCTGTGTGCAAAGCGCGCATGCTCAGTGCAAACAAAACTCCTACACCACCGAGCGAATGCTCCCTGCGCACACTCTGCCAATGAGAGCGCAACTGCCCCCTAATGTAGTGGAAGTGCAATTGCACTTTATTCTAAAGGCCCGTTCAGACCAAAGCGTCAAAGCGTCCACTTTCTATGTAAAGTCTATGTGGACGCGCGACTAGAGCGTCCTGCGTTTTTGCGGCGCGTTTTCGGCGTCAGCGCGGCGCGAATCTGGCGTCAGCGCAGCGCGTCTTCAGCGTTTTGGCGTCAGCGGCCAAGACGCGCGTCCAAGGCGTCAGCGTCAAGAAGTTGAAAATGCTGAACTTTTCGCGTCAGACGAGCCGCGTCAACCAATCAGGGACGAGTATCCAGAGACGCAGCGACGTTATTATCAGGAAGAAAGACCCGAGAACCAGAACGAGAACCACAAACATGAACGGAGAATAAATATATACGCCACAATCACCGAGCCGATCGCGAGGACTACACCAGGACCGGACCAGGACTAAACCAGGACTAGACCGAGACTAGACCGAGACTAGACTGAGACTCTAAACAAGGACTAGACCGGGACTAGACCGTGATTAGACCAGGACTAGACCGGGACTAGACCGGGACCAGACCGGGACTAGACCGTGATTAGACCAGGACCAGACCGGTATTAGACCAGGACTAGACCGGGACTGATCCAGTGTCATTAGCGGAGTAGAAATATATATACGCCCCGGTCGTCGACCCGATCTCCTCCTTTGATGTTTTATGTCATAAAAACACTCTCTCAGTCTGGTCTGACATTGTTTCGGGAAAAGACCGGGACCGGGCTCTTGTTTCCAGGGAAACGGACGCGCGTCAAGTATTTTTGTCCCGTTCGTCCACGGCGTCAAAGATGCGCGTCGGGGGCGTCTGAACTCAAATGCAAAGGCGTCCAAATAGAGGCGTCAAGGCGTTTTTTTACGCTTTGGTGTGAACGGCCCTTAAGACAGTAAAAAAAATCAAAATAAAAAAATAAAAAAGCATGCTCCCCGAGGTCAAACGCGCCCCCCTTGACGGAGCCTCGCGCCCCCCTGTTCTTTGAAGAGAACAGACAAGAATTTTCAGGATGTGGTTGCAACGTTCATGTAGTTTAAAAAAAAACAACAACATGACAATATCAAGTAATCCAAAGTATTCAGATTACATTACTCTCTATAAGTAATTTAATGGATTAAGTTACAACCTACATTGTGGGGTGTGTAATCTGTAAGGGGAATACATTTTAAAAGTAACCTTCCCAACACTGATTAAGTGCTATACCTAAAAGGAGTCCATGAACAATGTTAATTTAGTCTGGCAAAGTGCACAACCCTAACTGAGGTGTAGTGGCTATATGATGCCTGTGTTGCTTGGTGGCGGAAGGTAGAATTGGGTGTAGTAAAAATGATGACATGCTGAATGCAATGTAAAACGAAGATCTGGATCTGGTATGTGTTTGGGATGGTTGATAAATGAATGGTTCCACTGGCACACTATCACAGCAGCTGTGTACGGATATGAACACAGAGCAGGAATATTGCAAAGATGAATACTAAAATAAAACCAGAAAGAGAAAGCACTATCGGTTGTTGCGTTTGTTAGATTATTTTGATCTTCGGACATGCTTGAATCAGGCAAAGATACGTTTTGTCTTCTTTGTGTCTTTTATTTTAACATATGCGACATAAAAATAACAGCAGCAAGATCCCGCGTTTTTATCCAACAAGACAGCGGAAGTGAACTCGACAGGAAGTGAAAAAAAAAAAAAAAAAGCATTCACAGTACAAAATAAAGTGCATAATAAAGTTAGAATAAAATAATATGAGAACATAAATCTAACATCGGTCAACAAAAATTACACCTATCCAACCAATTTCTGCACACACCTTTAACACTTCCACGCCCTCACACACCCACGCTCACTATGCCCAAGTCATGTCTTCTATGAGGTACACAACTGTACACTTTCCAGTTATTTATTGCAGTTCAAGTTGTGCAAGTCCAATGAAGAGCTTGAAATGGTACAGAACTGCCAGAGGTTAGAAAAAGTTAAAAGATACAAAACACAAGTCCAAGCTCTGCCAAAACTACCTCAGGAAAAAAAAAAAAAAAAAAAAGACACAAGATGGTGAACTTGAAAACATGGAGTGTCCAGCACAGTCTCCAGATTTAAACCCCATCGAGCTGGTTTGGGATGAACCGGACAGAAGAGTGAAAGTCAAACAACCTACAAGTGCCACACATTTATGGGAACTTCTGCAACAGACTTGGAAAGAACTTTGTGAAGAATATTTGATTTATATTGTAAAAAGAACGAGCCACGAGTGTGTTCAGCTGTTATATCTGCCAAAGGTGGACACTTTTATGAATCAAAAGTTTAGAATATGTTTTAGTTAACAGTAAACAGCTGGAAAAAGTATGATATATAACTTTTGACCAGGCAGTGTATATATGCAATCATATGCACTATTGATGAGTTAGGTAGTACACTTAAAGTTGATGAGGAAGTCTGACTCTGAACAATGTGGTAATTAACTCAACAAAGTGTGTTTAATAATATATTGTGATGTGTAAGATACTATGTCCAAGTAATTTCCCTTGTGGGCCCATAAAGTTTGTCTATCTAAGTCCGACTAAGTGGAGGTAGACTTGAGATGATGTACACGAGTTGAGAAAGCGCCTCAGTTTCTGTGTGGTCTGCAGGTGCTGAGGCAGTGGGAGCGGCGGGTGCGTGCGGCCTCCAGTCTGGACGAGCTGCTACGATTGGCCGATTTCCCCGACTGGAAACTGTGGAAGTGTCGCCTTAAACTGCAGAGACCAGAGACCCAGACAGAGCCCCCGTCCCCCCACAGCTCAGGGTCTCACCGCTCCACACGATACGCAGCTCAGTCCTACAGCCTGGAGATACTCAAAGGTACTGTCCGTGGGTACAGTTATGTTAGGCTAGTTTACTTGCCATTTGTAGTTAAAGGTCTAATATTGGTGGGTTTCAGATGACATCACAGCACTTTATAGACCAATACTAATTCAGACAGATGGGGGCAGTGACAAATAATATTGTTAAAATGCAAAATTATGTTGTAATATAATCTGTGTGTCATTTGTTCATTTGTGTTTCAGTATAAAACCAAAAATAAAAAAACAAAAAAAACAACTCTTTTCTTCATTATTTGTCTCCAAAACCAAAATTAAAAAAACAGATAATGATTAGTTTTTTCAGTTTTCGGTTTTGTGTTTGAATGAATAATGGAAAAAAAAGGATAATGGCCATTTCCAGTTTCCATAACTTCAGTGACTGCGATGCCGGACTTTTGCGCCGCATACGTACTGAACAAGGACTAAACCAGGACTAAACCAGGACTAAACCAGGTCCGGGACCAGACCAGGACTGACACTGGGATCAGACAAGAGCTGAGACCAGGATTGAGACCAGGAACAGGACCAGGACTGAGACCGGGACTGAGACCGGGACTGAGACCGGGACTGAGACCGGGACTGAGACCAGGACTAGACCAGTACCAGACCGGGACTACACCAGTACTGAGACCAGGACTAAGACTGGGACTAGACGGGGTCTGAAAATGGTTTAGCCCTGTTTTAGTCCTGATTCAGTCCTGGTTCGCAATCACAGAAGTCAAGGAAGTCATGAAAACGGGAAACGTTGTCAATTTTTTCCATTCTTCATTTAGATACAAAATCAAAAACTGAAAAAAAAAATTATTTTGAAAAATGAATGAACGAATGATACATGGATTAGATATAGTGAGTTTTTGGGTTTAGTCAATAACTGAAAATATCAGGTTCAACATTTGTGAGTTTACGTTTTGGATATTTCATGGCAAAGTACAATGTAATCAATAAGGAAATCATCACAACTAGAATCTGAAAACAAGGATTGTGAACTTTTAGCCACATTATAATGTTGTTACCTAATCAAAAACATACCTGGAGTTGATTGAGTAATCCTTTATAATTAGTCTGTCTACATCTCCAAAGCTCAAGTAGTTTTTAAGTTAACAGCTACCTTTTACATTTTGTTCAGTAGAGGTTGGCAATTCATGGGCTGAAATTATGCAAATGATTCTACTGAAAGTGTATAAAGTTTAAAAACAAAGTGGAGCACTTCCTGTATTACCACATGGCATCACAAGTGTTTTCTTTTTGAGAGGAGAACTCATCTTAAATATGCAGGATTTGTGTGAATGGAACTAAAACCAACTCCAGGTTTGTTTGTGATGAGGAAACAACATTATTACATTATTCTAGAGATCAGAGAAGAGGAAATATGGGCCCATTAAAATCCACAAAAGCCAGCCAACCAGGAGGCTTTCAAAGGTGCGGTGATAAACGTTCAGCAAGATCTTATCAGGATTTATGTGAATTCTCTTCCACAAAAAGAAGAGACGCTGCCAGATCAAAAGGTCAGTCAACATCAACATCAGCAGTTACAACAGGTAAAAAACACCACTGTTTCAACTAAAATCAGTTACAAGTTCACAGTTCTTCGATATGTTCAGTTCAGTGAGGACCGTAGCCATAGCAATTCATCATTTCAAATCTGCTTAAAGATGCACTATGTAACTTTTTGATTTCTGGTCCATCACCTCTACCGTACATTTATTCAGTTACACGTGGTTTTAGAACTCAAAATTACCTAGAAAAACAAGCATTTTGACTGTGAGTGGGGTCGCCTCTCCACAGATCTACCATGTAACTTTTTGTCTCCATGAAGATATAAAGGTTTAATTTCATACTGTTAAACATTCCAGACAAATCAATAACATCTCCATAGAGAAAAGTGCTTGATGCAACCTCCCCCAGAAAAGTTACACAATGAAAATTTTGTATTGTTATTGCCATTATCATCGCAAATAAGAATTCAAAACATTGTATTATATCTTTTGGTGGAGAGACTTCAAAATGTCTAGCAAATAAAAAGGATGCAAACTCTTGGTCTGAAAAAAGAACCTAATAACATAAAATATCAGAAGACCAAATTAACCTCATTGGACTAAATAAAAAGGAAGCTGAAACTCATATATAGATAAATATAATACTTTTGAATGGATAAAAGTCCTTGAAAAGGCCCTTTGTGACTGAAATACACACAAAAATATCAAAACACACTGCAAAATATACATTGTATCCAAGTACATCTTGAAGTGGGATTTTTCTTTTATATATAGAGTGAATTTTTGCTCATATTAGTTTAATCAGTAGCTTTTATGTTATGTTAGACCTTCTTGTCTCTACGGAGATGTAATTTCTTTGCCTGGAAATAGCTGGTATAAATTGAACAGTACTGTATGTACTGTATCTTGTGTATACAGTATTCAATTAGAGGTGTTTTTATTGATCAAAAATACATGCAGTCTTACTGTGAGCGGGGTCACGTCTCACAGACCAAAAGTCTCACTAAACTGAGTCCAATTTTATCAGATGCTGATCTTGAAATGATTGTTCACTCTTTTATTTAATCAAGAGTTTTGTAATTCTCTTTTTACTTGTTTTAACACTTCTACACTTAAGCAGCTGCAACTTGTACAAAACGTGACCACAAGGTTTTTAACAGGAGCAAACAGGCAAGCCCACATTACACCGATGTTATCTTCGCTGCATTGGCTTCCTTTTAAGTTCCGTGTTGATTTCAAATTCTTGGTTTTAACTTACAGAGTGTTAAATGAACAGGCACCCCAGTACATCAGTGAATTACTGCACAGCTGCTCCTCAGGCCACACCTTCCAACCCTCAAGTCTCAGGGTGACGTGTGCTTTCAGGCTGTGGCTCCCAAATTACAGAATGCCCTACCCCTAGTCCTCCATGAGGCAGACTCTATAGACTCTTTTTTTTTTTTTGCTTACTTGGTTACTTACTGACTGACTGACTTACTTAGTTACTTACTTACATAATTATTTACATAGTTACTTAGTTACTTCCTTACTTAATTACTTACTTACTGACTTACTCGCTTACTTACTTACCTGCTTACTTACTTACCAGCTTACTTACTCACTCACTCACTTACTTACTTACTTACTTACTTACTTACTTACTTAGTTACTTACTTACTCACTTATTTACCCACTTACTTACAGATATGACCTGTAATTTGACCTGGTGTTGCCACCTGATAAGTTCCAGTGCCATACTGTGGGACATTCCAAGCACCTCCCACAGAAACGTAACATTGTGCAGCCTTAAGAGACTATCTGCAGTTCCAAACGTTTAGACAACTACTTGCAGATCAAAGTATTATTGTTTCTGTTATAATGGAGAGGGGTTGCAGGTCATTTCCGATTGGCTGTTTCCTCTCACTTGACTTGACTGACAGCCGAGAATTCAAAGGATCGAGGTACGAACAGAATTTCAAAGGCCTAAAACAGATTTTGGCACCAGCCCCCTGCTTTAATAAGTAGCACAACAGCGCCATCTGCTGCCAAAAATCTTCAGAGATATGTCAGGTCTGAAATAAAAAGGTCTTGTTATAAGAACGCCTTTGAATTATGTTATCTGAAGACCAAACACAGGAAATTAAAGCCTCACAGTACAACTAGTACTACTTATGTTAAATTTCACAACCATCTTTGCCGTTTTTTTAGGACTAAACTGATTTTAAATGGTATTCTAGTAAATATTCTGTTCTGAGTGAAAATGACATGAACATATTATTGCTTAGTCTGGAATGCTTATTTATTTAGCATTAAACTACCAGATTACAGGTCAGATCTTGGGAGGGAAGGGAAGAGCCCACTCACACTCAGAGGATGACTGTTTTTCTAGCAACTAATGCACTTGTAATTGAATAAATTTAAGATAAGTTTAATGCCATACAGTGGGACATTCCAGGCGAAGCAATGACATCTCCATGGATAAAAGCAAACAGCAGACCCTCCTTCAACAAAAGTTACATAGAGCATAAGTTACTACAAACTATATCTTAAAATGGGATCCATATTTTATACAGAATTATGTTTTGATCATTTTAGTTTTACCAGTAACTTTTATATTATGTTAGACCTCCTTGTCTCCATGGAGATGTAATTGCGTTGCCTGGAATGGTTCACAATATGGCATTAAGGTTACACATCTTGCATGGACTGTATTCAATTACAGGAAGTCATGAATGCATTCTTGTTAAAAAGTGACATAGTAAACCTTCAACTTTGTATGTCCGTGGTTCCAGCCGTGGATGAGGAGTGGCAGAGGACTCAGTGCATGCCCAGAGAGACGTGTGTGGACGTGGCCAAAGAGCTCGGCACAGAACCCTCTGTGTTCTTCAAACCTCCGTGTGTCTCCATACACAGGTCTGTCAACAGAACAGTAGTTTAGATTAATTTAGTTTTATTCTGTACTTGTCAGGAGCATGTGCAAAGTCATTAATCTTATAAAAGTAAAGATGTTCTGTACCTGGTGTTTCATTGGCTTGCTCCTCTGCCTTAAATAAAGTAGGTCCTTTGGCACCATTTGCGTGATGAAGGCCCAGTCGCCTAAACATCGCTCCACTCTAAATAAAGCTCACTTTTTGTAAGCTAGGCGGAGTGCGGCAGTCTTTTTGTTTTTGATTTTGACGAGCATTAGGCAAACGCTCTCTAACGCACCTGGCTTCCCTAAAATACTTCCTCTCCCTAAAATACTAAAACCCACATAAAGAAAAAAGTAGAAATAATAATAGCAATAGTAGCAATAATAGTAGTATTTGTTGTAGTAGTAATAGTTGCAGGAGTAGGAGTAGGAGTAGTAGTAGGAGTAATAGTTGTAGTAGTTATAATAGTAGCAGTAGTAGTAGCAGCAGCAGCAGCAGCAGCAGCAGCAGCAGTAGCTGAAGTGGGTAGTAGTAGTAGTAGTAGTAGTAGAAATATTAGTAGTATTAGTTGGTAATAACACATAAGAAACTACTTTATAATTATGTATGTATGTACGTAGTAGTAAGCAGTAGTAGTACTACTTGTAGTAGTAAGCAGTTGTAGTAGTAGTAGTAGTAGTAGTTAGTAGAAGTAATAGTTACAGTAGTAGTAGTAATAGTAGCAGCAGCAACAGCAGTAGTCGAAGTGAGTAGTAGTAGTCAAATTGAGTAGTAGTAGAAATATTAGTAGTATTATTTGGTAATAACATATAAGAAACTTTACTTTAGAATTATGTAAAGTAGTTTTTCCAGTTTGTAATTTTCTTGTACTGTACCACGTTGGTTTCCTGCAGACTGTACTTGACCACTTCTACAATTTCCCACACAAACCTGATTTAATTTAAACTATAGTCCTACATAAACACATAAATACAGCCTCTCTACTGTTGTGAAAACTCTATAATCATTTCAATTACTGCACTGAGTCATTACAGGGCACCAAGAACAACTCCTCTCTCCATCTTATGTTGTTTTTACATAACTGTAAGTTCACATAACGCAGTGTTGTGTGTTTGTGTTTACTCTGTGGACAAAGGTGCAGTGGCTGTTGTAACCAGGAGGGAGTCACATGCAGAAACATCACCACTGTCTATGTCAACAAAACTGTGAGTATTCAGTTTCTACATTTTAAAGTGCACATATTACACTTTTTTCTGTTGTTTCCTCGTCACAAACACACCTGGAGTTGTGTTTTGTTTCACTCACACATGTATAACTCACAAATCGTGCATATTTAGGCCGAGTCCATCTCTCAAACTGAAAACACTCTGTTCCAACTTATGTCGTCAAGTGGTAATACAGGAAGTGCTCCACTGTGCTTTTAAACTCCACACACCTTCACTAGAATTATTTGGATATTTTCAGTCATAGAATTGCCAGTCTCTACTAAACAAAAGATAAATGGTAGATGTTAACTTGAAAACTACGGCAAAACAGAAACAAAACACAACTCCAGGTATGTTTTTAAGCTATGTATCATTCGTTTATTCATTTTTCAATATAAAACCAAAAATAAGAAAAAGAAAAAACAACTTCTTCATTGTTTCTAAAACCAAAATGAAAAAACGGATAACGATTTGTTTTTTTTTTTGTTTTTTTTTTTTCATTTTTCCATTTTGTGTTTAAATGAATAATGGAAAATAACAGATAACGACCTGTTTCCCGTTTCCATCACTTAAACTGCAATGCGGGACTTTTGCGCCTCATACGGACTGGACCAGAACTGAACCAGGACTTCAACAGGTCCGGGACTAGACTGGAACCAGAAAAGGACTGTAACCAGGACTTAGACCGGGACCAGGACTGAGACCGGGAATGAGGCTGGGACCAGACCAGGACCAGGCTGTGATTCAGACCCAGACTGAGACGGGGACCAGACCGGGACCAGACCAGGACTGAAAATGGTTTAGTCCTGGTTTAGTCCTGATTCAGTCCTGGTTCAGTCCGTATGTGGTGCAAAAGTGCAGCATCGCAGTTTAATTCACGGAAACAGGAAACAGCCGTTATCCATTTTTTCCATTATTCACTTAAACACAAAATTGAAAACTGAAAAAACAAATCATTATGTATTTTTTCATTTTGGTTTTGGAGACAAATAATGACGGTAATATTTTTTTGTTTTTTTTGTTTTCCTATGTTTGGTTTTATATTGAAAAATGAATGAATGAATGATACACAGATTGTTTTTGATGAGGAAACAACATTATAACATGACTAAACGCTCAACAAGAGTCAATTTTGTGAAATATAAATATATAAATAAGACCTTTAAATAATATCTAATAATTCTATCAGTATTGGGATCTTCACATTTTTGGGGCTCCTCTGTACCATATATTCACTACTACAAAAGAACTACCTGGAGGACTGGGGGTATAAGGACTAGTGTGATTGGTCAAACAGGTATCCTCACTTCAAACTCTGTCCCCACAGCCTGATGTTTGTAACCAGAAACACCTGGCTGTAATCAGGGCAGTCCTGCGTGATGTCACATAGTACTTAAAATAGCACACACTCACTTTTTTTGACTGTTTTAGAATTAAGTTATACTAAAATTGCCAAAAAAAGAACCTCGAACAGCAGATAATACAATTAAAACACCATGTATATACACAATTGCAAAGTAGCAAAAAGTAAATGTAGTGTTTGATTCCACTTTAAATAAGAAAACTGGGGAAAAAAAATGACCAAAGCAAAGTACAAAAACATGTTAACCTTATTTTTCACTGTGGGAAAACAATTGTTACTGTTGAAAGAGAGGAAATTGTTTTGTTTTGCACTTGTTAAAATAGGAAACCTTTGGATACTGATGTGTGCAGCAGAATGAACCCAGCGTGCGTTTCATCACTTTTATTTTGAGTATTTTCTGTCCAGAGAAGAGACTATTTCTCTGCCTCTCATTTGTATTTTACTCTTTTATACACAATTGTACATCTCCATTTTCGCAAACTTCTTAAAGGTCGATTGTGTAATTTTTCTGGTGGAGGCTCCGTCAAATGCTTTTCTCCATGGAGATGTTATTGCTTTGTCTAGAATGATTCATAGTCTGGTATTATTTCTTATTTATTTATTTGTAAAGGGACAGCACATATTAATGAACATTTAAAATGTAAATATGTAGCGATTTTAGCCAACATGGTTAATTTTTATTAAACTTAAATTATCTTCATGGAGACCAAACCAGACCAAGTTACATGTCAGAATGCCTGTTTTTCTAACTGAATAAATGTAAGGCAGAGCTGTTTGATGTCATATTGTGGAACATTCCAAGCAGGTGACAGATAACCAGATTCATCAGCCGGTTTCACTTTGTGGAAACCGTCTGACCTCACAGCATTAGGATTCATTCACTTGATGGTAGGCAGGTATTTTTTTCATTTAACCAATCGCTGCTATTTGGTCGTGACGTATGTAACAGGACTAACTGTTTATTAAGCTTTTCCCAAATCCTGTAGGAAAAAGGGCAATAACGTCTTTCCCCATAATAAAATTCACTGAGCATTCTCTTTGTTCCGGCTTTAAATCCTCGACCTCAGGAATCGTTGCCAACACAGAATGTATGGCTCTTCGCTGATTGGCTGATGCACGGACTCGCACTTCCAGGATTCTTGCAAACCGTCTAGTTTATTATTCCAATTCCTGACCTAGTCGCTGGAGAGAAATGAAATTGAGTGGAGGCACTAGGTGGCACCAGCCTGGCCAGGTGACAGACCCTCCACCAGAAAATGTTACACAATGCATCTTTAAGTCTCATATTATTGCATTATAATTTTCGTTTCTTGACATTTCATAGTTTACTTTCAAGGTGCACTGTGTAACTTTTCAGATGGGGGTCTGTCACCTACTTGTTTCTGGATATGTCATTGCTCTGCTTGGAATGTTCCACAGTATGACATTAAACAGCTCTATCGTTCATTTATTAAATTACAGATGGTTTTATAGCTCTAAATATCTAGAAAAACAGGCATTCTGACTGTGACCAGAGTCGCCTCTCCACAGATCTGACCTGTACTTTGGTCTGGTTTGGTCTTGAAGATGGAAAAGTTTAATACCAGACTGTGAAACATTACAGACAAAGCAACAACATCTCCATGGAGAAAAGCATTTGACAGACCCTCCACCAGAAAAGTTACACAATGCACCTTTAACTTTGGAGTTCATTTAACCCAAGATTGTTCTCCTCTTTCTTGTCTGTGTCCAGGTTTTGAGCGTGATCCCATTCAAGTTTGTCCCTGAGCCAATCTTAATCAAAGTGGCCAATCACACAGAGTGCAGGTGTCTGGAGCCCGCCATCATCCGCCGTAATGCCCAGCCTGACGGTGGCACCAGGTGAGCCCCCTACACACACACACACACACACACACACACACACACACACACACACACACACACAGACACACACACACACACACAACCATCACATCACAACTGCAGTTTTAAAAGTTCAGTATGTAATTTTCTGAAGGTCGAGCGAAATGTTCATCAGTTACCATGATGACACAATGTAAACATTGGCAAACTCTGCCACAAAAGTTTTATGACTCAAATAAAAAACAACAACAACACACACACATTTTCAGGAGCTTGTGGTCAATATGAGTATTCAGTTTTGTTTTATTTTCAACAAAAAGAAAATCTGTTGACTAATGCTAGAGAGCTTGCGACTGAAGTATTATTTGAGAGAGACTTGTTCAAGGGCACAAATCATCTCAAATGTTGTAAAAAGTCATAACTTCCTGGTAAGATTGTGTTAAAATGAAGCTCAGATTAAACCTAGGTTGACTAACAGAGTTTCAGACAGAGCAGTGTCTCCAGTTAGCTTCACACCTCCAGGGAATGTTGGTGACATCAGCTGCAAAGTATCAATATCAGTAAAACGATATTTTGGAACATTATTCATGGAGCTAGAGTTTACTGTGAAATATTTTAGAAAAAGGAACAACATTTCCATGGAAAGAAGCAGGAGGGGGCCCAACCCCAGGCCAGGGAAGAGTCAGGTTTGTGAAGATGTTGGTATTTTATTCTGTTTTGCCAAAAAAGAGAAAAAGAAAAAGTTACATACGGTGGCTTTTAAGTCACAAGTTTTTCTGCATGTGTGTGATTTTTAATATTACTTGGTTTGTTGGGATAGGCCTGTACCTAGCAAATATTTAAAACAGTTTCTGTCATGTGGCAGTAGGTGAAAGGTTGAGGCGAGCAAAAGTGAGTTCTAAAACAGGAAATATTTTCATCTTACTAAGGCCCAGTTTCCACGTATGCAAGTATTTTTAAAAACTGAGACATTCCTTCATTTGTATCCATCTTTTACACACAAATAGTGAATTTGCTTCGGAAAAAAATCTTTCAGCCTAAATCAGGGGTCTCCAAACTGTAGCTCGGGAGCTACCAGAGCTCTCCACCCACTCCCAAGTAGCTCGCCAAGGGATTTCTGAATTAAGGTACACATATTGTGCTGAATAAGTCTAATTTGATTAATTAAATGCCCATTACCATTGTACAGGTATCACTTTAATGCCTAAGTTTGTAATCTAATAAGTGGATAATGGTTTATGTTTTAAAGGCATTAAACTGTGCCTCATCTAAAGCTCGCTGTGGCTCTAAATTTCTTGTGACCACTAAATCTGGTAGCTCTCTGTCATTTAGTAAAAGTAGCTCACTGGAGGAAAAAGGTTGGAGACCCCTGAACTAAATAAACATTGCATAATTTATTTTTATTAATCTAATCATAACTATATTGCAGTTTAGATGGTAGAAGATTTGACCCTTTTTACTTTGGCTGATATGTAACATTTATGGCATTAAAATACTATAAACAAAAACTATGGATGTTTTTAGTAAAATCTTAAATATAAAAATGTTTATTGAGTTTTAGTGAAATTCGTAGTCTGATGTATCCACTTTAACCCTGTGCCCTCTGTAGCTGTTCCCCCGTGGAGCCTCAGGACTCAAAGCACCTCTGTGCCAGTGGTCTGATCTGGGACTGTTCAACGGACAGATGCATCCCGTACCCGTCCTCCTCTCCAGGTCTCTCCTTGTTACACACTTTTTTTTTTTTTTTTTGCCTTAATCAACTAGTTACATAGTGATTTTTAAGATTTTGCTCTTCCTGTTACTATAGGTTAAATAGTTAAAGTGGGTTTTTATGGTTATCTAATTTTAATTTTGACTTAATCTGGTGGGATAATAACTGTTTTAAATATAAATTATAGTTTTAGACCCATCAAGAAGCAATTTGCGAAGAAAAGCTGAAAAATATGTTGAAAATTACAGTAAGCGCACTGGGAAGAATTCTGTCTAAAAAGTTCATTACAATTTACACACAAGAGACACATTTTTATGACATTTTGAACATTTTTTCAACAAAATAAAGGTGTACAATTTCAAATGATTTGAACGTTTGTTTTTGTTGCACCGCTCCTTCAGGTATTTCTCATTTTTGTGTCCATCCTTTGAAAATATCAGATTTTATGCTTTATTTAATGTTTTATCCTTTAATTTATCTTAACTTTATTCTTTAAGTTGCTCTTACTGGAATAGTACTTTTTCTAAATACTTTTTTACTCTTGACAGACCTCGATGGGGTTACATTTACTTGAGCAGTTTTAAAGAATTTGTACTTTTCAGAGTACTTGTCTAGCAGCATACTTTTACTCCTAGAACAGTAATATTTTTATTGAAGTAACTACTCTTACTTGAGTAAAGGTTTTGGTTCCTCTTCCCTCTTTGAATAAATCTACAAGTGACTAAAGGTTCATGTTGACACTGACAAAATGAAATGATCTGACCATTTGAGTTTCTTGCGACTCTCCTTCATGTATAATGTTGTTTTTTCTCATTTTTGTACCAGGTTTTATGCATTATTTAATGATTTGTCCAACTTCAAATCATCTAATTATTAATCAGATGTTACGTCCTGTTATGCTTTAAGGTGCTCTTACTTGGTTAATGTTGTTTTTCTCATTTTTGTGTCCATCTTTTGAAAACACTGCACATTATTTAATGTTTTGTCCTTCAAATTACATTAACTTCCGACCAAATAAATTATTAATCAGATGTTATGTCCCAAAGTTTCTCTTACTTGAGTATCAGTAGTAGTTTTTCCAAATACTTTTCTACTCTTACTTGAGTAATTTTTTTCAACCACTACTTTGTACTTCTACTTGAGTAACATTATTAATAGGCAGATCTATGTGGGCTACATTAAAGGTGAACTGTGCAAAATTTCTAGTGGAGGATTCGCCACCTGCTTGTCTCCATGGAAATATTTTTGCTTTGTCTAGATCAGTGCATCAGTGATGTGATCGCTATATTGAACTGTTGTGATAAAGAGGGGGCTGAGTTGAAAGGTAAAGCTCTTGATTTACCGCTCAATCCACGTTCCTCCCCTCACCTGTGGGCATGAGCTCTGGGTAATGACCGAAAGAACAGGATCATGGATATAAGAGATCGCAGTGAGTTTCCTCTGGAGGGTGGCTGGGCGCTTAGAGATAGGGTGAGGAGCTCAGTCACACACGAGGAGCTCAGAGTAGAGCCGCTGCTCGTCCACGTTGAGAGGAAGAGGGGCTATGTGTCTCGGCTGGCCTGGGAACGCCTCGGGATCCCGCCGGAGGAGCTGGAGGAAGTGTCTAGGATGAAGGAAATCTGGTAGTCCTTACTTAGACTGCTGCCCCCGCGACCCAGCCCCGGATGTGAGGAAGAAAATGGTTGGATGGATGTCTTTAATGTTCCACAGTATAGATTCAGTTTATCTATCACAAGAGAGACAAGCTGGTTACAGTGCTACGTTTCATTACAGTTCAGATCTGTGGAGACTTCTCCCCTGTTCACAGAAGAAGTGATTGTATTTTTGAGCAATAACAAGCCTGTAATGAATAAATACTAGATGGATGTGTTTAAAGTCATAAGACGGAACATTCCAGGCAAAGCAATAACATCTCCATGGAGGCAAGTAGGTAGCAGGCCCTCCACCAGAAACATTGCGCAGTGCACCTTTAACTTGAGTAACTATTTAAAGAAACTGTACTTTTCCAGTAACATACTTTTACTCCTACTTGAGTAAAATATTTGAATACTCTACCTCATAGCTTTTACTAACACATACAGGAATATTCATCCTTGAGTGCTTAGAAATATAAGTGAAATGTATTATTATTATTATTATTCTGTCCTTCAGGCTTCTCTGTGAGTTCGTGGCTGCCGGACTGTGAGATTGACGTAGACAGATGTGAGTGCGTCCAGAGACCAGAGCCGACGAACCATCCCAAAGCAGACCCCCGCTGCCCTCTGAACGCCTCCTCCTGTGCCCACAAGTACCAGCGCTTTGACCCTCTGACCTGCAGGTGATTTGAAACATGGTGGCTAGAAAGTTATTTATGTCCATTTATATATACAGTCTAAGGTTTGTTTTGTAACAGTGATGAGTTGTATTGATGTGTTGCTGCACCAGAAGTGAGGAAAAGTTTTTTTTATAAGTTAAAAAAGTATATATGAAGTATATAAATTAATTCAACTGGGGGTAGAAAAAGACAGGTCGATACATCTATTTGTACCAGACTAATACTGCCTGAATACAGTGACTCATGCAGGTTTGTCAACAGGATCACCTTCAGTCTTAACATAGTGTGAGTACATTTTTTAAAGAAAGCAAACAGCTCTATAACCAAAGACAAAGACCAAGGACTGACTGTTGAGATGTATAAATAAATGTTTTTCCTTCACTTCAACGTTCCAAATATTTACAAATTTTTCCTTTTCAGAGAAATTAGCTGACGTGTAGTTGAATCTAAAAGGATATTATACAATCTTGATTCAAAAAGTACATGAATGGATAATGTACCAAATTGCAACCTTGTGTTTTCTATTAGATAAATGTCAGTGCCATTATCCTTTGTGTTGTCATCTATAACTCTTTTACAAGAAACAGTGAATGAAAGTTTGATTAAACAATTTAAGCCTATTGAAATGGAGTCTATTGAAATGAGCCTTAGTCACTGACATGCTGAGAAAATTACTAACTTCGTTCCTTCCAGACTGGAGAAAAGTGTGTGAAAAGGCGTAATTTATAATAGTTTATAGTGTAAGGTTGTTGTACACCGGAGGTACTTGTCTGGGCACTCAAACCTACTTTGACGAACAAGTGACACAAATTAGTGGCTGTGGTTGGACAGTTAAGTGTTTTTCAGCCTTTCTGGTTCCAGACCATGTGTAGACTTGGACAAACAGTCGTCCAAGAGAAAAGAAGGACAGAGCTGTTTATTTATCTTAACCTTATGCAGCAAGATGTACTCTTGCAATATTTGTGAGTTTACAAACTCACAAAAATCCATCTTGAAAACTCTCAGGCTCAATTTACACGTACACAGGTATTTTTAAAAACATAGACATTTCCTTTCATTTGTACACGTGGGTCCGGTCAAGTGGTAACGGAGGGAAACGGCAGATTTTTGACATTCAAATAGCTCTTATTCAGAAACTAGAGGGACTATTGAAATAAGTAAAGTATCAGAATGTAGGAAAGAGTTAACACTCCAACAGGGTAAAGTTAACCCTGTGATATTCTTTCAAGTTGTTGACAAAAAATTTAAAAACTCATGTCGGTAACGGAGGGAATGAAATATGCAGCACTTTTTGGGCAATAAATACAAACAGCGATAACTAGTGGTTCTCACTTATATATCCTTAACAAACTGGTTTGAATATTTGCTTCATATAGTTTTCTATCATATGGTACTTTTTGAGTAATGAGATTTTTTATTAAGAAAGGTCATGGTAACAGAGGGAAAAGTAACGGAGGGAAAATTGTGCAAGCAAGTAGAAGGTGCATGATTTTGCATAATTTGTCAGCTTTTTTCTTCCGAATACTTTAATATTACTTCAAAAAGAAAGGAAACTATTTCTATAAAATATGTCAGTCCTTCCAAGCAAATTTTTATCATTTTAAATACATAAAAAAAAAAAAAATCATGTACCTTCATCAACAGTTCAGAGATCGAATAACACAAGATATGATGAAATACATCAATTTATTTACATGATTTGCAGGTCTTTGAAATTTGGGAAATAATTTTTGTTCCATGTTTCATACATGGTCTGTTTAAAACGTATGGAACTTTAGAACCAAAAATGGTACAGAAAAAAGGTAAACAGTTTCATAAACTAGACACATATGCTATCTGTTGAATACATTTTTATATCAGATGCATTAACTTGAATTTTTGGCCTTGCTATTTACTTCTGCTTGACCAGGCCCACATCTTTTACACAAAAACGGCAAATTCACCTCTGTACACAAATCTTTCTAAAAACTTGGACTATAGTGGAAATTCTGGAAAACTACAGTTTTGCGTTTGTGTGTAAAGTGAGATAAACTGAGTTTTAGGAGCTGACGCACCAAAAGTGTGACCAACGTTTACATTTTGCTCTGATGATGATCATGGAGCATTCACAGCAGCAGTCGCATTTCTTCTGCTGCAAACTCTTTTCATGTGTTTGCATTTGCACACACATCTGATGTATCATATCGATGACCAGAGACAAATGAGGCTTGGAGGTCAGCAATTTTGTCACTTCTTTAACAGATCTGTGGATGAGTAATGCATGTTTTTCAAGGTATTTTTGAGTAATACTTACAACTGTAATGAAATAAATGCTACAGGTTTGAATCTAATACAGGTGCTGTCCAGAGGCTTGGAATAACTATGACAGCACTCAATGGCGTATTTATGCGGATTGATGTAAACGAAAATTTTTTTTGAAAATGATGCTATGTGCATTTTGGAAAACGGAGGGAGGGAAATATTTGTTTCTCAAGATACCCGGCTATGTGTAAATGTAGCCTCACTGTACGGTTACTTGAGAGAGTGGACCAGTCAGTCACATCGCAGCAATGAGGGTCGTGATGAAGCCAAAGGTGAAGCTCCATAAGGAATGAAAACAAACATGGTGATGCCGACGAACTTTAGCCTATTTTAGTTTCAGAACTACAGAATTATTTAGGTTGTGAAAAATGTGCAGAAGGTAAAAGGTTTGTGCATTTCGGGTCAGGGAACATGTCTCTGTTTTTCTCTCAACTGGACTTTGCTCTGCTGTTGTGACACTTCGACCGGTCAGATTCAAACATTCGTCATGACCCTCCACATTTTCCGATCTCTTCCAGTAAGAGTCGTTCCAGATTGATTGACTCAGTTCAGAGTTCTAAACATTTTAAAGGCACGTTAAAGGCAATAATAATCTGATTTTCACAACTCCCAGAGAGCACAGAGGAATTTTGCCCTCAAGTGCTGCTTACACAATGTATCTGTTCTGGGGAAAGGCACATTTTGGGTGCCTTTAACTTTGATTTCATAACTTATACTTGCAATGTTAACATATTAAGAAACAATAATGTAATAAAGTCTTCGTTTAACCTTGTCTCTGTGCAGATGCAAATGGCCAAAGTAGCGTCCAGAAGAAAAGAGGCAACTGCTCCAGCACTGCAAAGGACCCATAATTTATTTACTGCACTATTTATACAAACTAATGGAGATAATGTTAATCACACGGCCATGTTAAGTGATTTTAACATATGCACCTTGTGTCTGAATCAAACTGTAAAGCTGATCATGTTGTTTTTTTGCACTGAATATGTAGCTCATGTTAATAAAAGGTTATTTTTTATAATTTCAACCTTCTTTTGTACATCCGATTATTTTTGCTTTTCTGAGTTCTCAACATTATAACATGGCTTGAAGCTCACAAGATTAAATTATGCTTGAAACAGAGAACTCTCATTCACTGTACCATCGCATCGTAATGGTTCAATGTGTTCCATGCTGAGACACAGAACATATATAGATTTATTGTCAGACCCTGCTGTTTTATCACAAAGGACACCACAAGAGACCTATGAAAGCTATAGTGTAAAGAGCTGCTGCTAACATCATAGATTTTTTAGGCAAGCAGAAAATGACCAGTTGATAATGGACGGCAAAGTAGTGTGAGTGTGTATGTGCATTAGACAGCTCCGCTGGGCTTTTAAATTCCATACACCTTCACTAGAATCATGTTAATCATTTGCGCCCTGAAATTTCCAACCGCCTACTAAACCAGGGATGCTCATTGCTTTCATTACGTGAAGTTTAAATCAAGGCTTAATTAATAGAGTTTCCTGAAGGGGGCACCGTGACTCCAGCAACCAGTGACATGCAGGTCCATGTGTAAACGACCCGTACCCGACTGACGCTTTCAACTAACCCATCCGTAACTCCAACCGCAAAAAAAATATTTGAAAATATTGTACCTGACCCACTGCCTGACCTGTATTTTAAAAAGTAGCCCATGTTCTTGATTAACATCATCTAAATATTGTGACCAACATTAATAAAGTCAGTGAAATGACTGTTAAATAAAGAGCTGCGCTAAACCTGCACACATATGATCTCTGAAAACATGAACCATCTTCAACGCGCACACACAGAACAGACTCACCATCATCATCAACATCCCTCTGTCACAGAAAGAACACTCATATTCCATTGAGTCATATTGTTTATTCCGACAGAAACTGAATCGCATCAGGACACAAGGAAAGAGCTGTTTTCCTGAGCCATGTGGTTTTACGATTCATTTCTGTAAAAAGTAAACACAAATGTGTCAAAGCTGCATTAAACACATCATAATGTCAAACAGCCTGATGTGGCTCTATCGTGGTTATGGTTTATATGTTGTAAAGTTGAGTTTATTTATGCAGATTACTAATAGTACTAATAATGAAAATTTTAATATAAAAATGATTTTTTATAACTTTAAAAAAATAACTAATTATATTACATTTTATAATTTTTTATTGTAATTTTTTTTTTTACTTTTTTATTAATATAAAAAAGGTGACTTCGTATGTTGGCCTATGTTGGGTATAAGTGGCTCTCCTCTTGATTCCAATGTGGCTCTTGTGAAAAAAAACATTAGTGACCATCACTGTAGTACACAAAAGATAAAAGGAGCTATTAATGTGAAAACTATTGCTTCATGACATCACAAGGTGGAACAGAGCATTTTGAGCTTTGAAGATGTAGACAGACTAATAATAAAGGATTACTCAAACATGTGTGAATGAAACAAAACACAACTCCAGGTGTGTTACTGAGCAGGTAATAGCATTCTAACATTCTGCATATTATAGGACTTTAATTAGAGTCTCCCATTGGGAACAGCAGATGTCCACTGAATGAAGTGTGGTGATTCAGATTGTCATATAGTCTGTGGTTGGCATACAGAGTGACATACACCACATCTCCAGGTTCCAGGAGCAGTGTGGCAGCAGTGCTCGCCGTGCCGTGCCCAGACGGCTGACTCTCATGGGCCATAAACACAAGGTGTCCATTCTTCTTCAGATATGCCCCCGCTGCGACGTCTCCACTGGACAGGGCAAAAATCACAAAATGGTACACTCCTCTGACCGGGGCAGTGAAGAAACCTAAAGGAGAGATTGAACAGTATTAAAGATACACTACGTAACTTTACAGTTGGTTGTCTGTCACCTGCTTGTTTCTATGGATATGTCATTGCTCTGCTTCGACTGTTCCAGAATATGACATTAAACAGATCTGCCTTACATGTATTAAATTATTTCAATTACAGGTGGTTTTATAGCTTAACCTCTTGAGACCTGAGCTCGATTAGTGCGGTCTTGACTACAACACTAGTAAACACATTCAAGTTCAGCTAACAACATGGTACAATTAATAACATTATAGTCCCAATGTCCTCAAACGAGGACATGACATTTACTGACGCTCTAGTCTGCTATGATTACTAAAATGTGTCAAATTTGAATGATATATGAAGATAGAGACATTATTGTACATAAATACATTGGTTTTATTCATAAAATTTGGATATAAACTTTACCTTGCTGTTTTTTTGTTTTGGGAGCTGCTGTAGAAGATTTTTGTTGATATTCCTGCCATTTTTCTTTCACTGAAATTGGTGTAATGTTGTGATATCACCACTAAATGATGCGGACAGTGTCCCTCAGTGTGGCTAACAGGATACCGTTTTTTAAAAATTGAGTATCGTGGTGCTAAGAGACAAAAATGTAATGTCCTCGTATGAGGACCTCAAGAGGTTAAAAATACTTAAAAAACAGGCATTCTGACTGTGAGCGGGGTTGCCTCTCCACAGATCTGACCTGTAACTTGGCCTAGTTTGGTCACTATGATGATAGAAAGGTTTAATGCTATACTGTGAAATATATTTCAGACAAAGCAATATTATCCACTAGAGAAAAGCAGATGGTGGACCCTCCACCAGAAAAGTTTAAAGTCATGACATTTAGTGTTGTTCAGGCTTATTTACCTGTCTGTGGATTGTAGGAATTTCCGATGTTTAAGGCCACGTGTTTATAGACAATAGTCGTCTCTGCATTGTAAGGCCCAAGAGTCATATCACCCTTATCTACTAATGCAGAAGAAAAGGCCACTTGCCTGACTGGAACAGAGAAAAAAAATAAAATTACAATAAAATTTTGCATATGGGGATATTTCCAAAGGAATACTTTTAATGACACTATGTTTGGATATTATTTTTGTGGATTTTTATGGACAGAATGAGTAGCTATTCCTGAACTGACTGCACCATGGACGAGATTGGATCAAAGGTGAGAAATGCGTTATTTTTGTATTACTTAAAGGTACATTGTGCAACTTTTCTGGTGGAGGGTCTACTACTTCCTTGTCTCCATGGAAATGTTATTTCTTTGTCTAGAATGTTCCACAGTATAACTTAAACCTCTATCATGAGGGAGACAAGCAGGTTACAGCACTGAGCTACATTACAATTCAGATCTGTGGAGAGTCGCCCCTGTTCACAGAAGGAATTATTATATTTTAGAGCAAAAGAAACACTGTAATTGTCTCCATGAAGACAGGTAGGTAGGGAGCCCTCCACCAGAAAAGTTACGCAGTGCACCTTTAAAGTGGTTAAAGTGATTCACATTTTTTATTTTGCAGTGTTAAAAAGGACAACAGGGTTTGAACCGTACCTGTCCGGTCTCGGGTCAGAGCCTCCACTTTGCTTTCAGTGACTGTGGAGCTGGTCTTCAGGAGATTCAGCTCAGCCACATGAGCTAATATAACAGTAGAAGAGTAATGTTAGCTACATGTCTGACAAAAAAAAAAAAAAAAAAACATGTAGGAAACAAACCTTCTAAATCATCTTTCATGCGTTGTTGTTGTTGCACTAGGGTGTCCACTTCTTTCAGTCTGGTTGCCTGGGCTGCAGGTCAAAAGAACAAGTAACAATGGAAAAACAGAAGCAAAAAAAGGTTCACATTTTGAATTGACATGAATTAAATTCAATTATTTTTTCATTAATTCATCATTGCATTTATATAGCATCTATCAAGACACTCACAGCATTTCAAAGTGCATTGTTGACGTGAGGCTGCTAATCTGTACCATCGGCCCCTCCAACCACCACTAACATTCACGCACACTCCACTTTCTTAGTAGGCAGTGCAGGTGAAGTATTTGGCCCAAGCACAGCTTTTGCGACTGGCGCCCCCCTGTGGCACCTGGAATTCCCAGTGGTCTCCCATCCAAGTCCTGACCAGGCCCGGCCTTGCTGAGCGTCTGAGATCTGACAAGATTAGGCTTTGGTGTGGCCACATTGCTTTCACAAACATAAGATGGACTTTTAATAGGACTGTTTCGATATGATACTTTTATCGGCAAAAGCTCAGATACCACACATTTGCAGGTATTGGTATCAGTGGGTACTGATCCAATACCGCTCTGTATTTTCCTGAATGAGGACCGTAGATGCATAGACCTAAGCAGCTGCTGTTGACGTCTGTGGCTAATGCTTCCACTAACGCCCAGAGCAGGTTAAATACAGACACTTAAAGGGCCCATCTCATGCAAAATCTACTTTTCAGAGCTTTCTACCTTCTAAGAGTGATGTGTGGGCCTTGTATATGTCGCCGAAGTGGTTTTAAGATTGATTTAGCGTTTTTTAACAAATTGCTGCCTATTTCTGCCACCCTCCCACGTGACAACGAACTAAACGATGACGCGGCAGCTACATCTTTGACACGTTTGACGTAGCTGTGAAAAAATTTCTGTGTTATTTTAATTATTATGAATCATTTAAAATCATAATCATTTGTGTGTGTGATTAAAGTTATCAACAATTGCGTTTTTGGGTTTTTCCATATGTATGTCATATGTCCTAGTACAAGAACTCCTGACTCATTAAGCTAATCTACTTAGTCACCCATGAGAAGACAGCTAAGGGTTTTTCCCCTCATGTGGTTAGCATAAGTTTTTGGGAGAAAACTGACCAAATTGTTTATCACCTGGAGCTTGTAATCAAGTGTGAAATGGGGGGGTGGTTTAGCCTAAAGATTGTTAGCATGTGATCATTGTAACCATTGTGTGATATAACATAATGTACTGTACTGTTATCTGTGAAATGACTGCAATAAAACCTGCTGTTGGGAGGAGAGCTGGCAGAGTAGAGTAGGCTCAGCCAGTGGTATTGACAGGCTCTGACAGCTCTCTCTCCTTGCGCAAGTATTACTTTCAACTGTCTCGTTTTGGTGTGTCTTTATTTAATGTAATTTGATGTCTTAGGGTAAATTCCCTGACAGTAGCAGAAAACGTTTCGCACCCGACCCCCTCCCCGCTCCACGGCCTCCACCTGCCTCCACCCTGCATCGTCTGACAATTCCCACATGAACATCTAAAAAAAAGCGACAGCATAAGCTAATTGTTCTACACTGCAGTGTACACGATATAATAAGTTTATCTGCTAGTGTTTATTAATACTTTACCAATCAGTAATGTTCAGCTGATGTCGGCGCAATGCTTGTGCTTCGTGCACCTCAAAGTCCTTGTCTGATTCCGGGTTTAAGACATGCGGCTGAACGCGCTGTATCGCCATGATGAATAAGATGAGTTATTTTGCATGAGATGGGCCCTTTAAAACACAGTATTAATGGCAGAAAAGACATTTTTGTTATCTCTTTGATACTTTCATTTAGCCTTTGGTCTAGACACTGAACTTAGTAAAATAACTAAAGTTACGAAGAGTGCAGTCCGGCAACAGTGATAACACTAAAGGCCGAATTATAGTTCTCGCACAGCTCCCCGACGCACACGAAAGCCAATCAGAGAACTTGTGTGATTGCCGTGCGGCCAGAAAGTTACTATAAATCAAACTTCTCCCGAATGCAAGAGGTGGCTGCTCCACAAAGACTACAACACAGACAATCTGGAACAGCTAAAGTTTGGCACAGAAATATTTGTATCTGAGCCTAATATGATTGTTTATTAGCCATATGCTCCGAGGAAGAGTGTATTTTTACAGGCCTCACTGTTCTTTTGATCCTGCTCTGTGAGAAAAAGTGACAAAGTGCTTAAATCAGCACAATTCATGAAGACATATATACATTTGACTGAGTTTACTCCTCGAAATCACATTCTTGTAGATTTCCTTTAGAGAGAGCCTTTTAATTGAGTATTTTTTGCTCTTGTACTGTAACAGAATTGAGTAGCTTTAGTCTACTTCATCACACTATGTAGTATCAAACTGGTATCGGTATCGGCAAGTAGGCCACGGTTTTTGATTTTGCAGTTGACTGGGTAAGGAACAAAAAACTATTACAAATAAAAAAGCATTATCATTATAATTATTATTTTCGCCGTTGTGCTTTACCTTGATTTTCGACCTGCAGCTGCTCTATCCTCACTTTCTGTTCAGCCAGTTCAGCGCTTATCTTTCTGAGCACAGCGTGGATGTCACAGATCTGAGTCTCTGGTGTTAATTCTCCTTCAGCTGAGAGGAGAGAATGTACCACCACCAGCAGCAGCAGAAAGATCCTCGTGTTGTCCATGATTTTCTGTATCTGGTCGTAAACAGGGGAAGCAGTGCAAACGGATGATGAGACTGGTAGATCATTGTTCATCTGTTCATTGTTGATCATTTCTGGACGCCTTTAGTCCAGAGTGTGAACCCAGGGCCCATCCAAAATAGACATAGACTCATTGACTCACACGGGAAATTATTTGGATACAGTCGATTACACAATATACTGTAATAACAACAAGCAAAACTATAAATGGTGATAATAAATTCAAAATATGATGCAAAAATAGCAAGAGACTGGTTTCAAAAGTACCTATATGTACAACAAATATAGTAATTCAAATATAGAGGTCATAAGGAGAAAGAAATATGCAAAAATGAAGTAGTGATTGACAGGACATGGGATTATGAGTTAAATAAGGGTGAGTTGTTGTACAGTTGAATGGAGTAATGTCTCTTTTCTTCTTCCTAACTTCACTGATCGGTTCGGGTCAATGACATGGAAAGGAGCTTCTTTAATAGTAGCATATGTACATTTTATATTTAGAATGAACATTTCCTATCTATGTCCCCAGATATGAGATAAACATGTTCAAATCCAATACTACAGATAAAATTGGAATGATGATTAATTCTTATTTACAAAATCATGTCAGCAGTTTGAGCCTCAGACTTTGGGTTGCCAGATCGTGCAACTGCAATTGTTTTAGTTGCGTATAATTAAATTTTTTCTTGACCTTACTGAATTTTCTGAAAACAAAACAAAAAACAAGAGCACAAGCTTTATATTCCATACCTTTAATTATGTAATAAAAGAAATCCTCAGAATGGAGAGATGCTCAAACAGTGAACTGAACATTGACCCGTGGATTGTCAAGGCTTAATTTTTAAAGTTTGTTAATGTGTACTTAAGGAAATTTGTCTTGAGTTACTTTTTCTGCTCATACTGAGTGAATATTTAACTACTAAAATTACTAGTACTGTCACTTCAAAAATCACTTTAAAATGACAGTATTAGGTTAGGGTTAGAATCTGTGTATAATTCATTTTTCTTCATAATAAAACCAAAAATAAGAAAACAAACAAACAAACAAAAAAAACTAATATTTTCTTCATTATTTGTCTCCAAAACTAAAATGAAAAAAAAAAAAAAAAACAGATAATGATTCGTTTTTTTCAGTTTTTGATTTTTGTGTTTAAATCAGTAATGGAAATGTTACTTAAACAGTGACACCGGACTGAACCAGGACTGAACCAGGTCTGATTCCAGGACTGAACCAGGACTGAACCAGGTCTGATTCCAGGACTGAACCAGGTCTAAACCAGCACTGAACCAGGTCTGATTCCAGGACTGAACCAGGACTGAACCAGGTCTAAACCAGGACTGAACCAGTACTGAACCAGGTCTAAACCAGGACTGAACCAGGTCTGATTCCAGGACTGAAATAGGTCTGAACCTGGACTGAACCTGGACTGAACCAGGTCTGAACCAGGACTAAACCAGGTCTAAACCAGTACTGAACCTAGACTGAACCAGGTCTAAACCAAGACTGAAACAGGACTAAACCAGGTCAAACCAGGATTTAACCAGGACTGAACCAGCCAGAATTAAACCAGGACTAAACTGGTCTCAGTCCTAGTCTGGTCCTGGTCTCAATCCTGGTCTGTTCCTGGTCTGGTCCTGGTCTGATCCTGGTTTGGTCCAGATCTGGTCCCGGTCTCAGTCCTGGTCTCAGTCCCAGTCTGGTCCCGGTTTGGTCTCAGTCTGGTCCCAGTCTCAGTCTTGATCGCTCAACAGTCTAAGCAGGCGCACATCTGGGCCCTTCCCAACACTCTGTCCTGTTTTAGTCCTGGTTCAGTCCTGGTTCAGTCCTGGTTCAGTCCTGGTTCAGTCCTGGTTTAGTCCGTATGCGGCGCAAAAGCCCGACATCACAGTTTAAGTCACGGAAACAACCGCTATCCGTTTTTTCATTTTGGTTTTGGAGACAAATAATAAAGTTTTTTTGTTTGTTTGTTTGTTTTCTTATTTTTGGTTTTATTTTGAAAAACAAACAAACAAATGATACACAGATTGGTTAGGTTAAGGTTGAGGGTTAGGGTTTGGAGATCTGTGCCAAGGTTGGGATTATGTGTTATTTTAAAGTTAGGGTATGAGGCGTGGGGCACAACTTGAGGTATACGTGTTTAATGAGCTTATACCACGGCTACAAACTTAAATGTCTCACCTGTGAATGTGAAAAACCTTTTCCCTGTCTGTAAATATCGATTATTTCAGTGTTTTAAATGAATCTAGTCCTTACATTCTACTTAGAGCATCTGTTTACCTGTTGCTATGGTGATGTCACGGTGATAGCAGCAGAGCAGTGATACAGAACGTGATTTAACCGTTGCCGAACTACTTTATGTGCAATTAACACAGCAGTTCGCCATTGGAAATCTCATTGACCGCAGCGATTAAATGACCGTTATTAATTCAACCTTTAAAAAGAAAACTCCCTCTAGTGGAAAGAAATGGTACACACGATAAGCACTGAACCCAAAAATGACTGAACGCGCTATAGTGGAATACAGTATAAAGCAATACTAATTACAAGTCTAAGTGACAGGTCTATCATCCTTCAACCTGTGATGGTGCTAATAGCCATCGCCAACACATGCACACACCATATTCATAAAAGGAAGGCAGGTGAAGTGTCTTGTCGAAGGACACAAAGTCACAGTATTCCCTAATCCCAGTGAAAACTAATTTAACGGGTTTATATTATGCTACTTTCTGGCAAGGCAAGTTTATTTGTATAGCACAATTCGTACACAAAGTGATTCAAAGTGCTTTACAGAATAAGAAAAAACATTAAACTCACAATAAAAACAAATCAAAACATAAATAATCATCATAGAAATAAAGGTTAAAATTAAAAAAGAGAGAGAGAGAGACATTAATTACGTAAATTAGCGGAATGAAAACCTTTTAGTCAGATGCAATTAAACAGAACCGTTTTGAGCCTGGATTTAAACAGCGTCAAAGAAGAGGCCTGTCTCACATTTTCATGAAGATTGTTCCAGGTTTTAGCTGCGTGAACCTGAAACGCTGACTCAAGGTGGAACAGAGCATTTTGAGCTTTGGAGATGTAGACAAACTAATAAAAGGATCACTAAAGGCATGTTTTTGATGAGGTAACAATATTCAAACATGGCTTAAATCTCACAAAAGTCAATTTTGTGATGGGACCTTTAATCTGCTTTACATCTTATATTCTGTACTGCTTTGTAAACCTTTGTAAATATCATCACATACACATCTTAAAGTAGGATTTTGGTCATTATTATTTCAATAGGTTCAATAAAATCCTTCAGATGGAAACATGTTCTAAGTAAAGGTCACTGGAGGAGATGGAGCATAAAGTCTGTCATATTGATTTACGTTTTACAGTCAATCTAAAGTGTAAGGGGAGCAGAGCAAAAGCAAAAACGCTTAAGAATATGACCAGTGACAGGCCACTCAAATGGCCATGATGAGAAAATACACTACCAGTCAAGTTTGGTCACACCCCTCTGCTGTGACACAGGTTTCTCTTGCCTCCCTGTCCCCTTTCACTGTAAAAACTCAAATCTAGCCAAGTTAAGATGACTTGATGAAGAACGTTTTATCATGATCTGAGTAAATTAAGTAATGTTTAATTAACAGGACTGTAAAATGGTAAATTAATAAAACAGGCTAAAATATGTACAGAAAATAACCCAAACTAAGAAACAAAATCACAGGATTAACACATGTTTTGTGCCAAAAACAGGTCATGCAAGTCTATACAAAAACGAGTGATTCAACTAAAGGACACACGACAAAACTAAATCACAAGTGCCCCAAAGTAAAACTACGTAAACCCACAAACAGAATCGAGTAACAAAACAAAAAGGCACAAAACAGAAGTAAACTAAACAAGTGAATCCATATATCATTTGTTTGTATTTCAATAGAAAAAAAAACAACAACAATTTTCTTCATTTTTGTCTCCTAAAACAAAATAAAAAACAGATAAGGATTAGTTTTTTCAGTTTTCCATTTTGTGTTTAAATTAATAATAAAAAATGGATTACGGATGTTTCCCTTTTCCGAGACTTAAACAGACTGAACGCATACGTTTACGAACTGAACCAGGACTAAACCGGTCTAAGGCCTAGTCTGGTCCCGGTCTCAGTTCTGGTCTCAGTCCCGATCACCCAACAGTCTACGTGGGTGCACCTCTGGGCCCGTCCCGACACTCAGTACTGGTTTAATTCTGCTTTAGTTCTGTTTTAGTCCTGGTTCAGTCCGTATGCAGCACAAAAGTCTGACATTGCAGTTAAAGTTTAAGAAACGGGAAACGGCCGTTATCCGTTTTTTCCATTATTCATTTAAACACAAAATAAAAAATGAACTAAGTAATTGTTACCCATTTTTTCGTTTTGGTTGGAGACAAATAATGAAGAAAATACTTGTTTGTTTTCTTATTTTTGGTTTTATTTTGAAAAATGATGAAAGAATGATACACAAATTCTAGTGACACATGCTAGTACAAAAACGAGTGACTGACATGAAAGAGACACGCTGAAACACACAAAATGGCAGACTGGCCACAAAGATTAGCAGCCCCGAACAGGTGTGGAGAATCTTCTGAAAGAGGGGGAGGAGGCTGGAGGTGAGGCAGGATTGGACAGGTAGAGAAGTGCCCCACCAATCAGGGACCAGGACTCTCACAGCAGGAATCCATGGGCAGTATTGTGCATGAACGAGGTCAAAAGATTTTTCAGTGAACTTTGAACTGAACATAACACATTTGTAAATCAAGAACTTGAACGTGAATTTGTTCAGATCATGTGAGATGAACGATGTACGTCACTGTTGGGGTTCAATTAAACGCCGGAATTTGTTTTCACCTGTTGAGTCGAGTGACAAAGGTCTGCTCGCACTTTTTAAACTGCATGTTGCGCTGTCACTCATTGCCCACGGGCTCCTCCTGCACAGCCTCACCAAAGAGCACTTGTGTGTGCAATGCATCTTGGGTAATGTAGCGTGAAGTAGGGATTGGCATGATTAGTCGACTAAGGGCGTTTTCACTCCGCTAGTTTGATTATTTGTTC